GAAAGAAAATGTGAAAATAAATTTTTTAAAGAAGCCTTAAAAAATATATCTATCATGATTAAACTAAAAATATTAGGAAATCCAATAATTGATGGAAAACAATTAAAATTTCTAAAATGGCCTATAATGCCCAAAGTAAAAGAAATGCAACTTAAAATTCTTAACAACTACTATCCATCAGCAGAGACACTGAGGAAGAGATTTGGTTTTGAAGTGGACCCTTGTGAATTCTGTCAGGGAAGCCCTGAAAGAATAGAACACTTATTTTTCAGTGAGAAGTTTTGGGAAGAAGTCCATTGTTGGTTAAGAAATGAAATAAGAGAACTTGATAATTTTACAAATGAATATATTCTTATTTACATTTCTAAATTAAGTGGGAATAATTCATCGTTAATTAACATTATTATTATGGGTAAATAGCACATCCACAAAAGCAAATGGAAAAAACAACTACCAAACATGAACTGTTTCATAAATGAATTCCATATGTTCTTATCCACTTTGAGTTGTATAAAAAATTCCAATGCAACTGCAAAAGCCATTTGTCATGCTGCAGAAAAATGTTTAGTCTTGTCACACTGTTTTTACCATGTGATATAAGTGCCTCTTTTTAAGTTTCTCATTTGTTTTTCTTTTATTGTTACTAAGGATGCCTTGCATGTTTCCATTAAGTGTTGTTGTCTCCACGAAAAATTGTAATAAGCATATATTGATAATAATTTTTTTTAATGATAAGTCTATGGGAAATTGACAGGATAGGGGGAAACGGCTGGAAAGTGGAGTGAAATAAGGGGAGTTTCCTGCTAAAACTGATATATTTCATAGCCACGTCTCTAATGTTTCTAAAAAATCAAACCGTATGAAAATCGGTTGCAAACTGAAAAAGTTAAAGAGTTGTTTAAATGGTGCATACACCACTAAACACCAGCGTTAGAGGAGGGCACCTGCCCGAAGTAAGATGGCCGCCGCATACGGGGAACAGCGCGGGCGAGGGATCTAGTTCATATACGATATCTATGGGCGTGACTGCCGGGCTCCACTCAAGGGACGTGACGTGAGCTCAGTGCACGTGTGTTTTCCGTTTCATTCAAGGAAGTAGCCAGGAGAAGCAGCTGAAGCGACACAGTTGTTGCATCCTCTTGGAGAGGAACAAACCCACTTCATTACCGTTCAAAATGTCCGGATTTGATAGCAACCCGTTCGCAGACCCCACCGCCGACAACCCTTTTAATGTAAGTAATGTAAGCGTTTGAGTTTGTGGCAGACTACTCTCGAACTACTCTCGACTACTGTTCTGTTGGTGATGTTCTAAAGGTCAGCACGCCAAGCAACTGCTGGGTGGGAATGGGTGGGGGGTGGGGGGTAGAGCTTTGATAACAGCCTCTGGACGCTATTTGCCTAAAAATTATGGTTGACAGCTCGTTGACCAATCACTGATGTCTATTAACACTGTGGGCGGATCCCTCAAAATGTCGTTTCAGGAAAGTAAATGGCAGCTTAGCTCACCATAGGCATAAACTAGTAGGAAAGTGTCACGGTTCGGTTCTGAATAGTGTAGTTTTAGTTATTAGTCATTAACCTCTATAGATGCTCAATGATGTAAATAAATACTTTCATCTGACAGACCTACCTTTGTTGACATTGAAATGCTGTGAACATGATGTTAGAATAGGAACCTCAGTCTCCTCCCTTTCCTGTTGGCTTATGGGACCCTGGAAGAATGACAAAATAAATGCATGTCAACGGGGCTAAAACATTGCTTTGAGAGGCTTCTCCTTCAGCACATAGGATCACCTCCCCCCAGAATTCGACCCCCACCATTTTGCATACCGTGCAAACAGATCAACAGAAGGCGCCATTACCACAGCTCTCCACGCAGTGCTGAGTCACCTAGAGCAGCGGCAGAGCTGCATCCGAATGCTCTTTGTGGACTACAGCTCAGCCTTTAATACAATCATCCCGGACATCCTCATCAACAAACTGGTCACTCTTGGCCTCCCTCCTCTCACATGTGCCTGGATAAAGGATTTCCTCACAAACCGGCCCCGGACTGTGAGACTCGGCCCTCATCTCTCCTCCACTTGCACACTGAGCACCGGCTCCCCACAGGGCTGTGTGCTGAGCCCCCTCCTGTATTCTCTGTACACTCACGACTGCAGTCCGACCCACAATAACACTCTCATCATCAAGTTTGCTGATGATACCACGGTGGTCGGACTCATTTCGAAGGGAGACGAGGCAGAGTACAGAGAGGAAGTCCTGAAGTTGGCAGCATGGTGTTCAGAAAACAACCTGTCCCTGAACACCAAGAAAACAAAAGAGCTTATTGTCGACTTCAGGAGACACAGCACCGACTTGGTCCCCCTCTACATCAACAGGGAGTGTGTGGAGAGGGTCCACACCTTCTGGTTCCTTGGTGTCCTCATCTCTGCTGGCATCTCCTGGGCGGAAAATATCTCAGCGGTCATCAAGAAGGCCCAACAGCGGCTGCACTTCCTGAGAGTCCTCAGTAAGTACAAACTGAACTCCGACCTGCTGCTGACCTTCTACCGCTCGTCCATCGAGAGCCTGCTAACCTACTTTATCACGGTATGGTACGGCAGCTGCACCAAGGCGGATAGAGTGTGGTAAAGACGGCACAGAAGATCATCGGCTGTCCTCTCCCCTCCATGATGGACATTTATTCCTCCCGCTGCCTCAGTAGGGCAGCAAACATCATCAAGGACAGCTCCCACCTTGGCTTCAACATGTTCAGACTGCTTCCCTCAGGGAAGCGCTACAGGTGCATTAATACAAAAACCCACAGACTCAAAACCAGTTTCTTCCCCAAAGCAATAACCACCCTGAACTCACACATGCACCGATAACACAGCCCCCCACTTCCCACTTCCTCCATTGACCACCACTATCTATTTATACCAAATTCCATGTGCAATAATTGTATACACATAACATTACTGTCCATATGTACATAGCGCTGCAGAACTGTACCCCCCCCCCCCCCAAGTGTGTTTGTTTTACACTGAGTAGGAGATGCTCTGTATCTCACTTTACACCTGTATAGTGACAATAAAGCCATTCTATTCTATTCTAAGAACGACAAAATAAATGCACGTCAACGGAGCTAAAACGCTATTTTCTAATCTGCCCTGGCTGTTATGAGGCAGCCCAGGATCCTTCTGATCAGCCTGCACAGTTCCTCTTCAAGTCTGTGAATTTGCACTCCTTACTGCAGAAAATATCACAGGTGACAACAAAATGACAGTGAATTAAGAATGCTGTAAATAGCAAAACAACATTTAATTATAATTTATTATTTACACATGCACTCAATAACATTGACACCCAACTGGAAGGCTGAAACAGATCTCCATGACTGGGTCACGCAGGTGGCTGGCTAGATTATGTACTTTGGCACTCCTCTCCACCTCATTGTGACTGTTAAAGTAGGCCTAGAGTACATAGGGAAACCAGGTGGCAGTAGTTAATTAAAGGTAAAACATAGTAAACTGTATCTGCTGGAGCTGCCGTCCTTACCTGCAGTGCGTCCCACTGGTTCAACGCTCTCTGGACACAGGTTAAATGATAATGACCTGCACTTGTATAGCACCTTTCAGAGTAAGGACTCCAAAGCGCTTTACACTACAGGTTAACAGACTCAGCCATCGGGTGCTGCAGTACCTGAGGAGCTTCAGGTGGTCTGAAATCTACAAGATTTTACATCTTTTTGCACTGTAATATAGGAAATTATTTAGTTAGTGGCTGGAAATATGTATGTATGTTTGAAGAATATCAACCTTTTTATTTATATGAATTGACCTTTTATCAAAGTGGGTGTAAACCCCACCCAGGGTGTCTTCCACAGGTACCTGTGCTGCTCTGATGGCACAGCCAGTGGCCAGTTGTGTTAGGTGGCAGATGCAGCCATGGTCCTGGACGTGGGGCTGGGTGATATTCAGTCTGCTGACAGCAGAGTTATGTCTGCCTTTCATGATACTGGCACTGTCAAGAGTTAAAGGCCATCAGGTTCTCCCATGGGATGCCTCTTTTTCTAATAGAAACAGGGAAAAAATGGCATAGATTGTCTTAGACAAAACGTAAAGTTATAATGAAATGCATGTCAAACACACAGAGCAGCATCTCTACCGTAATGCTTCACTAAGCTTTTCATACAGGTTCTCTGTCTTTCCCACGCGGCATACAGGCATCTCCGGGAATCTTGTAGCAACCTGCTGAGTGGGTTTAGTCAGGATGACGAATTCTCTGTTTTTCTGTTGTTCGATTCGACGGGTTGTCCAGTAATCGGAAGGTTGCAGGTTCGATCCCGGCTCCAACCAGAGAATTTTCCTGTTGTGTCCTTGGGCAAGACACTTGCTTGCTGGTGGTGGTCGGAGGGCATCTGTAGCTACATCGTAGCTCATCGTCAACAACGTATGAATGGGTGAATGACTGATTGTGTTGTGAAGCACCTTGAGGGGTTGTAGAACTCTAAGAAGACGCTATACAAATACAGGCCATTCACAAATCAAATGTAAAAATATAAACGCCAGGAAAAGTAAAAACCACCAACACTGGCCAAATTGGGTGGCGATGTTAACATTTTCAACAAAGTAACTATTGATAAGAACAATAAACAACGTACCAGTGCCATCAATCAGCAAAAAGATAGGAAGCAGAACATATAAATGAGAATAAAATTAAGACGATAACTACTTCCTTGTGGCACTGGGCGCAACCATCTTTAGTTTTGGGATCTCGGGGGCCTCTGAAACCTACGAGCTAACAGCTGGAAATTCTGTGTACATTGTGTCATTTCCAGCTAAATTCTCTTGGAAAAATGAGTTCGGAGGACAACTGGAACGCACCAAAAGCCAGGCCTGTGTTAATCAAGTTTAATTGTTTATCTTTGCAACAATCTTTACAAGAAGGCAAAATCGTTATTGGCAGGGTTTGCATTGACCGGATATTTCCCGTATTTGACCGTTTATTTTGATGGAGAAACCTCAAGGTTGTTGGTCGTTTTGAAAGGATTGCCCCGACGCATGCAGATGTGCTGACATTTTAATCGTTACGCACATCGCAGAGGTAGCTAAATCAATCGAGAAAACGTTCCCATCAGAACATCCGAGCATTATACTGGACACCGTGCTCAGCGCAGCACGCTGTCCACCTTAGGTGCTCGCTGACAGCAAGTTGCACAGAGCACAGTGTCCAGTAAAATGCTCGGATGTTCTGATGCCGGGAATCTTGATTGAAAGCTAAAGATGTGGAGAGGGGCTTGGAGCGCGTCGGTCACAGGCAGCGGCAGGACCGGAGTGCATGTTGGAAGAGTCCTCTCACTGTCTCTCAGAGAGACATAGAAAATGTTCCTGGTGATGAAACTTTGGCTGAACAGCACCTGTAAGGGACGTGGGTGTTTTAAGGCCCTCACTTTTTCTATTGAGGAGGTTAAGCACCCACACCTTTCCTGCAGTTTAGCTAAAAAATGTTACAGTCAGGTCCCTCTGTGTTTCTCTGGCTGTGTTTGTGGTCTGGCCCGTGATCAGGTGGTTTGCTCTGACAGAGGGACGACTTGGGAAGTTCTCGATCAACCCGAACCATCCAGAGCCTTTTATCTTTAGAACTGCGGGTCCAGACTAATCATTCCTTTGGCACCTTAGAGGTTGTTGATTGGGATTATGCTACAGATGGTCTGTCATAGTCAAGAGATGTAACACACTGAAAAGACTTTCAGGTCTGCTGAGTCTGGTTAGAAACAGTGATCCGTTAGATTTCAGTCATTTTTTTGGTGTTCCTGTTTCTGTGTGTTGATGTTTGCTTGTTGTTCCAGGATCCTGCTGTCACTCAGGCAACCAACCCCAGCGTTGAACCAGTCAGCCAGTACAACCCCATTCCCCAGCCTAATGTAAGAAACCATTCACTCTCTGGCTTGTATTCATGCAAAGCTGTGTTCCAGAACGCTGGCGCACATCAGAACTGTCAGAACAGCAAAATGTGCAAAAGTTAATATTCAAGATAGTTTTCAGTATAAACAAAAGTGTTTGTTGTAAAACCTCAGTTTTCAGTGACGTTGTTCATACATGGTTTTTGCTGTGGTATCTCTGTTGCAGGTCTAGAAACCTGGTGTACAAGGTTCCTTTTACACCAGGTTTCCTTTCTTTTTGCTCCACCTCTCATCCTTATTCCTTCCTCCTTTCCCGTCCACGTCTGTCTCTGTGTCCTTTATTATTCAAATCAAAACTAAAAGTAATTCAAAATATATATATATATATATATATATATATATATATATATATATATATACACACACACACACACACACACACACACACACACACACACACACACACACAGTACAGGTCAAAACTGTGGACACATGACTCATTCAATGTGTTGTCTTTATCTTCATGAACATTTAGATGGGAAGATTCTCACTGAAGGCATCAAAACTATGAATGAACACATGAGGAGTCATGTACTTAACCAAAAAAGGTGAAATAACTGAAAACATGTTTTATATTCTATTTTCTTCAGAATAGCCACCCTTTGCTCTGATTACTGCTTTACACTCTTGATGAGCTTCAAGAGGAAGTCACTTGAAATGCTTTTCCAACAGCCCTAAAGGAGTTCCTAGAGGTGTTTAGCTCTTGTTGGTCCCTTTGTAAATGGTCATGGTCATGAAGATGAAGAAGACACATTAAATGAGAAGGTGTGTCCAGTCTTCTGGCCTGTACTGTGTGTGTCAGGTGTAAAAGCATTACAGCTAAAGCTCATGGTACTGTCACATATGCGTTGGCCCGGTTTAGCCCTGGTAGGTTAGTTGTAGATTAAAGGCGCTGTAACGAATATTGAAACAAGCAAGGCCCAGCTAGCTAGCTTACACAAACACAGTGCCTGAACTCTCACCCCTCCCGTCGGGTATAATCCTTAGGCCACGCCCCTCCGGATATGTGAACGCGCTCTGCCATGTTGAACAACCGAGAGCAGAACACCTGTCGCAGTTCACCTGAATCAATATGGCCGAATGACCGGTAAGTGAAAAACAAACAATATAAACGTCTAACATGAATCATTTATTTTAACTTGTTTCTATGGTAACGAAGTATGTTTTAAAATGGTTATTTAGGGATTATTTCCATCTTCAACAGTAATAAATAGCATGGTAGCCTGCTAGTATTAGCAAACATGAGCTAATACTGCTAATAGCTTTCTGACTCCTATGATGTCGGTCAAATATTGTTGTGGCCTCTTGTTTTGTAGTGTGATGGGTTCTTTATTTTTCCACATCAGTTTTCATGATGAGAGCCTCACAGGGTCTGGTACAGAAACCAGAGCCAGGAGCAGAACTGGAGGAGCTCGTGGAACATCTCTGCACCAACAGATCAGGTGAGAGGACTTCTAGAAGAAAGTCTTTCAGTTCAAGACGCACGTCGAGTTGAGGAGTTACAACAAAGGATTGCCGAAGAGTTTATATTATTTTTAGGTTCTTCTCTTCATGTGTACAGGTGTGCAGAACCCATTTCACTGTTGGTAAAAATTATTTATTGTAATACGTAGGTTGGATCAGTGGCGGTTCCACATGGAATTACTCCCCAGGTGAAACCCTTTTGAGCACCTGGAATACATACATACATATATAAAAAGATTTTTGCAAACCTCACTGACGTGCTCACTTCCACCTGTTTTTGATAATCGCTACAGAATTGCACTTAGAACAGAAAACACAAACTAAAACCTAACCTTCCAGGCCTTCCTTGATGCAGCGTCATCAATACTGTCATCTTAGGAAACCTGCTCCCCTACTGAGTGATTTATGCTGATGACGGCCAGGTTACTGAGCCGCTCCTGAGACATGGTTGACTTCATGCATGACTTGATCAGCTTCAGATCTCCGATGGATCTTTATCACAGATAAAAGGAGGCTCGTGATCATTGATGGCAGGTTAGGGAAGTTCTTGATTTCCTGCACAAGCTCTTTACCGTTCAAATCAGAGTTCCCATCAAAGTACAGTGTGGTGCTCAGTTCCTCACATTGCTCCGTCAGCTCCTCATCTGCAAGGCTTGGAAAATTGGTCATAACCCCTAATTTCTTCTGTAAAATTTCCTGTGTGGAAAACCTCTTTGATGTCTGACGTGGCTGCATCAAGAGCAACATTGAAGAATCCAACCTCCAACTTTTTAAGGGCATCACTGAAAGGCTCATCATTTCATTCATATGAAAAGTGGCACTTTGTGGACCTCAACTTGTTTAGCTTCAAAACAGCCTCCACGTTAATTTCTTCACACATTTCTTTGGCTGCATCTGTGCTGTCACAAAGCCACTTGCCCTGTAGCTCTGGAGACCTTTCCCAGTCTTCTTCAAAAGACTCACAGCTAGGCCCACATGCATATTCAGAGACTGCATGAGTTTGCTGACATGCTGTGTCATAAAAAAATGCCGCCCCGGGCAGGCGCCCAGTCTGCCTGAGCCTAAAACCGCTACTGTGTTGGATACAAATTCTACTTCACCAATTGTGATTTCACCACAATAATAATCATTCAAAGCATTCATATACCAGCATTTAATTGTATTGGGTGGAGTGTTATCATAACACTTTAAACTTTTTTTGTTATTAAAGGTAATTAATAAAATTGTTCTAATTGATTTGCTTGGAGCTCTACAATTTACTAGACATTCTGCATGTGGGAAAGTAAATATTATATTCAGGTTGTTTTTACCACTCTTCATAAGCGTGTAGCAAATTACTAACTATCATCTTCTTTCATCTTTCAACAGGCACCAATCAGATCCCTAAACTTGGAGTCATCCCAGGGGCGGGGTTAGGCCCGGCTACTTGGGCTCAAGCCCCGAATGACTTATGAAAAGCCCCGGTGTTGGTACAGGATCTGCTCGGGTGCAAGATCGGCTCGGGGTCCTTCGACTGCCGATGACGTCAAAGTACGGCAAACCCACTCGGACAAAATCCACTACACATCTATACTGTTGGAAAGAATTTAGCAGTTTCGTTATTAAAATAATGTTTCTTAAGACGTAAGTTTGTGTTTATAATGGTATTTGTAAAATAAAACACTATATTGTATTCATAATGTTGAACTCCTCTTTGAGCACATCCCTTGAAGGATCATAGGTATTAGCAACACCTGTGAAATTGTATTTGAAAGAAAGAAGTGTGTCTCGTTTTTTTTTCTCTTGAATACGCTTTATTGACAAAGCACATAATACAAGTACAAAGAAATAACAAGCACAATGTTGGGGGGTTTCTATGGGAAAACAAAACAGTCTAACAAAGAATCACATGATATTGAACAGGGAACATAAGTTTATGGTTTTGACAGCTTTCAAATTTTTAATGTTGTATGGTTTTTATATATTGTCTGGTTTCATTTAAAAAGCACTGAAAGGAAAGTTTTGGATTAGAAAATTTCGACTTATGTATATGAAATTTAGCTAATAATATCAATAATTAATCAAATAAAATTCGTTTGCCCTGTGCTTGGGGTACTGAAAGAAACCAAACAATATTTCCTCATAACAAAGAGAGAACTCAGAAAAGATTAAGGCAACAACAAAAACGCAAAATTCTTGCCAGAAAAGATTTGTGTATGAGCATGACCAAAATAAATGAGAAATATTTTCCTTCACACAGTTACAAAATGTACAGTTAACATCAATTTCCTTTTTATAACGTATAGTGTGTGTCCCGTTTATTGAAGTATTTTGTGTTTAGTTTTTGACGTCTTGTCCATGCGTAGTTCAGGCACGCTCATAGCTGCTAGCCAAAACTCTGTGGAGTTAAAAGTTTTCTGGCTTTACTAAAATACCTGTCTGTACTTATTTGATTGATGGTAGTTTTACTTTCTATTAGACTCCAAATGTAATCATTTGGCAAGTTTCTAATTCATAATTTGTAAGAATGTAATAGGTGATTTTACCATTAGCATTCCTATGGGTTTTTCCACATATATTAGCATTGCGCTAACCACTCGCTGCCAAATTGCAGCCTTTGCTATTAGAAAATCTCCTTTTGTCACATGGCAATTTAATTGCACATGCAGTTAATCAACAGAAAGATTTGCTTGGACTAACGTAACGTGATTACAACGTAACGTGATTACGTAATTCCGTAAGGTTCATGTTCAGCCAATCAACTACTTTGACGTCACCGGCAGTCGACGGACCCCGAGTCGATCTTGCACCCGAGCAGATCTTGTACCGACACCGGATCAAAAACATGGAAGTAACGCGTAGTACCAAAGTCCAACAGAGAGGGAGCAGCTGGCAGTAGTTTGTATACAGCCTGCCTGAGCCTCCACCACTGAAGAAGAAGCCCTTCAGCAGCCGGCATCTTCTGCAGTCTGCCTGAAACGCATGTGTGAAGATGGACATAAGGACGTTTTTTAGACAGAAAGGACCACGACAGAACCCCAGCTTTGATGGTATTGGTGTTGACTCAGGTTTGTGAGTCTTATTTGAAAATATTTGTTGTGCTGCTGGTTTGCCTAAAGTTAGCTTACTATCAGGTAAAGTTGTTGGAGAAAGAAAGGGAATATTTAATATCATCTCACACTAAACACTAACAGGAACATATAAAAGCGGTTCCACCTCCCTTTTTCCCATTACCAGTAGAATAAATAAAATGAAAGTTTGGTGGGAAGGCCTCTGTGAGAACAACAGTAGCATCAGAACTCAACCAGGTCTCTGTTAAAAATAAACCTTGAAGATTATTGTCTAAAATCAGGTCATTTATAATAAAAGTTTTGTTCAGCAGAGAGCGAACATTTAAAAAATGTTAGGATGATGTCAATGCCAAAACAGCCAAAACAAAGAGGACACTTACCTCCTACATCAGGAATAATCCGCGAGTTTCGAGCTTTATCCGTTCTTTCATAATCCGTTGTTGAATTGTGATTGGCAGAAGCTTTTCCGGTTCGAGCCTCACTTTTTTTTACAGCAGCTGCCCAAAACAATCTAACACATGGATTTTCTGCTTCCTGATCACGTGACGTGTGACGTATGCGGATGAAGATCAGCTTTAGAGCTGAGATGTTTGTTCTCACGGTGCGGGGGCTCGTTCCGATGCCCACATAGTAAAAAAAAATGCAAATGACGACTTTAGTCGTCGATGGCAGTGAACGAGTTAATGTGACATCCACTTCACATAACTGTTTTAAAACATTCTCTCGTAAAGGTTTAACCATCTTTGTATCTGAAGGAAGGCGGGACGTCTGAGAAATGTTTTGATAAAGTTCTCAATTGGTCAAATTCTGATTTGCCTAGTTTATAAACAATGTGTTGATATAACAGAATTGTTAGCAGAATTAATTCGGTTTTGGGGAAGAAGCCTTTTGAAACCATCTCCTCCTGTGACCTTAAGTCAAAAGTCTCTGTGACGCTGCGAATGATTACCAACACAACAGCTCTTTTCAGAGCTATTTCACACCTTAGACATCTGACCTTCAGACCCCGGGTTGCATCTCATGGCCGGGAAACTGAACTCTAAGGGAGCTACTAGTGTTTGAGACTTGTGGTCTCGACATCCGGTGACTCACCACTCGGGCCGCCCTTCTTCCGGACTGCTGGGAGCAACACATACAAAAGGCTGCACACTGGCATTGGATGGTTTTATAAACAAATCTGTAGTTTAACAGACAGTTAAATTTATTTTACAACCCAGACTCTACAAATTCTCTCAGTAACACGTTAAATCCCTTCATATCCACTACATTACAAATCATTATTCATATCTTGTCATGTATAATCATTAGTTTAGGGAAAACAATTTCATTTATTTTTATAAACTACATACTGACTGTCTGAATTAATATGAATTGTGTTTATGTTCTCTGAGCAAGTAAAGTAACTAGAATCTTCTGATTAAACATTCAGAGATAAATCGGGTTGATATTTCATATTTATATGGAATCATCACATCTTATTGATAATTTTAATAAATATGTAGTCAATCATCAATGCTACAGTAGTGAGCGTCATCCCAGTGATGACGACCTGCTAGGTGGCTAAGGGAGTGAGGGAAACTGCTTCGGTTGAGCCCATACATTCAGAAGACTAACCAATGGCCCTATTATCTCAGATCTGAATGCTGACTTTAACACTCAGATGTGTCACAGAGGTTGGAATTATGGTTAGCTACCGTCCTCAGAATCAGCAGGAAATCATTATCAGCAGCAGACCAGCAGGGGCCTTGATCATGTAGGACTCTTCCTTAATCCAAGACTCTGGCTTTAAAGGTGTGGGAAACCAGCTTAATCAATACATTTGCAGTGGTCTTTGGTAGTAATAAATGCCCTGCAAACAGTACTAAGGGCAAAAAGCCCAGAATAGCTTGTTCCAGCACAGATGAGTCTGCTGCTGCCCCGAGTGGCAGCAGACAGCAGCTTTTGAAGTCTTATTTTCTGGTTTTTGGACATCTTGCCTTGGATTGGATAACATCAACACATGTTTTATCTCCACTAAGTCTTTCTGTGTTGTGGTGTTGCTAATGCAACTGGTTAGCTTTTACTAGTCAGGACGTTGTCTGCTGATCTGTCTGGCTAATCTTAGAGTTTCACAGTCTGTTTTCTTTCAGGGGCTAATGCAGGAGGTGGGTGTAGGAGACTATTTTCATGTTCAGCCTGCATGAAACACCCAGAGTGACCTGTTATCAGAAATAATCATAAAAAAATGCTGCTACACCTTTAAATGTTTAATGATGCTTTTATTACATTGTATTTTTCTCTAGCTTCATTATATAAATCCTTAACTGTTCACATGAGGTTAATCACTTCACTGTTACCTCTGTGGTTGTTCTGCTCCAGCTGACCGGGCCTCCACACAGATGCTCTAAAGCAGGGGTCTTGAACTCTGGTCCTTGATGGCTGCAGACCAGCATGCTTTAGTTCAGTGATACCCATCCTGGTCCTGGAGAGCTGCTATCCAGCATGTTTTCCTTGTTTCTCTGCTCCAACACACCTAATTCAGTGGTTGAATCACCTGTGCAGTGGCTCATCAGGCTCTTGAAGCAGGGTTAAAAATAAAACATGCTGGATACCGAACCTCTGGGACCAGGAGTGGGTACCGCTGTTTGAGTTTCGCTGCTTGAACACATCTGATTTTAATCAGCAGGTAATTCAGACTGAACAGGTGCTTCAACCATTCAATCAGGTTTTGAATCAGGAAAACAGAACATGCTGGATTGTGACCCTGAAGAACCGGAGTTGCAGATCCCTGCTCTGAAGCTTACTGTCCACCTTGTGAGTTCCTGCAGCTGTAAAGCGTTTGTCTCTTCCCCCACAGGCGATGGCTGCTGCGGCGCAGGCCAACCTGTTGAGACAGCAGGAGGAGCTGGAGAGGAAAGCTGCCGAGCTGGATCGAAGGGAGCAGGCGCTCCAGAGCAGAGGCCCAACAGGTCATAACAATTACATGTCCTCTCTGCAGCATGTGTGTGCTTTTACACCTCCACTAATGCTCTGTGAGGTTGACGTCATCACACAGCAAACTGGGAAGTGTATATCCAACACTAAGTGTAGATTTTCCACATCCTCGGTGATCATTTGGCTCCAGGTGTTAAACAACACTGGACAGCAGAGTCAACACTAGAATAATATAGAAACACTTTCAGAGGATAGATGAACTCTGGCATGAAATATTGCTTCATTTATACTCGCAGCTCACACCGTAACTACCATCACACAGTTCTCTGTACACAAAGTGTTGATCTAAAGGCCGAACTAAATATCTCTTTGTTGGAAAACTGAATTTCCCATCTCTGAAATGGGAATGTGGACAAACGTATCCGTTACTGGAACCTGATCAGCTGCACAAGAGGTCTGATTTCTTCTGGCATCGTAGCGTTCACCAACGGCGAACCCAGTGGGTTCGACGACCATTTAGTCTCCATTAACGTTACTGAACGAATCTTCAAGATGTTTGAAGTAGTTACCCAACTGGACATTCACATTCTCATTGTCAGAACATATATTTAGAAGATGTTTTCTGATTTTTCTTTGAACTTCATGTACAAGTTCCTCCACAGACTTTATTACACTGGTTGCCACACCACAGCCTAGGAGTTTTCATATCAAATCAAATCTAATCTAATCAAACTTTATTTATGTAGCACTTTTCATGCACAGGAAGCAACACAAAGTGCTTAACAGATTAAAATGACCCACATTCCCCCCCTTTCCCACACTTAAAACAATTATGACATTTTCACCCCCAACCCACAAACCATTCCCAGGCACAAACACACGCACGCACGCACACGCACGCACACACTCACACACATGCACGTGCGCCCACACACGTGTAACACAACAGTAATTAAAATAAATAAATAAGTAAAACAAGCAATGCAATAAATAGTAATCAGTTAAAAGCTAAACTAAAAAGGTGGGTCTTGAGCCGGATCTTAAAAACATGAATGTTCTCTGCGACCCTGAGATCCTCCGGCAGCCCGTTCCAGAGGCGAGGGCCATAATAACTAAAAGATGCCTCGCCGTGAGTGTGAGTCCTGACTTTAGGAATGACAAGGAGACGGCTACCAGAGGAGCGCAGGGACCGCGAGGGTTCATATGGTAAAAGCAGTTGTGAGAGGTAAGATAGGCCAAGACAATTAAGACACTTAAAAAACATTAAGAGTATCTTAAAATCGATCCTGAAACATTCGGGGAGCCAATGCGGTGATTCCAAAACCGGAGTGATGTGCTCCCGCCTCCTGGTCTTCATCAGGACACGAGCTGCTGAGTTTTGTAATAGTTGTAGAGATGCACACGTCTCTGGAGTATTTAATCTTTATTTCACTGCTTGTTGAACTTTGTGGTTGTTCTTCAGATGAAACAAAAGTCTATTCCAAAGAAGAAGAAGAAGAAAATATCATTTCAATAGCGCCTCTCAAGATAAAAATCACGAGTCACTTCACAAAAACAAAACAAAAAAAAGTAAAAATATAAAAAAGCATTTAGAAAATGTTTAAAAATATATTTAAAAATGAGCAAAAATAGGCAATTGGGATTTAAAAGAAAAAAAATGTTAAGAGAGAGAGTGAATAGGAAAGAGAGAGAGTGAATAGGAAAGAGGGAAATCAGTGGATCCTGAGAAAGGTGGAATAGGTGGGGAGAGCAGAATAAAGAGAGTGGTGAAGAAGGTCATACAAAAGCCAGCCCCCCAAGGTGACTCCAGTGACTCATTTAGGTTGTGTTTTCTCCACAATACTAGCTCTGTGCTTGTCCTGAAGAGGTTTGTGAAACCCTTAAAATCTGCAAAACTTCTGACAACAGCTGTCTTGGTCCCATAACAGTTTAAATTTCAAACCAGGGTCAGAGCCATGAGAAAACGTAAGATGATGAACCAAGCCTTAGACCTGCAAACAAGACATGGAAGCATTTATTTGTGTAGAGCTGATTCAGATCCTTCACCCTAGGACTTTCAGGACTCAGACCAACATCTAGATTGGTCTGCACAGATGTATACATATTGTGCAAACATTCAAATGGTAGAGTCAGAATTTGGCGTAAACAGGATGAGAACATGGATCCATCATGCCTTGTTACCACTGTACAGGCTGCTGGTGGTGGTGTAATGGTGTGGGGGCTCTTGCCCCCTGCTGTACTGTCTTTTTACATTTCATTTAGTCATGTAATGATGTATATTTTTGTGTGCGAAATTATTAAAACAATTTTTTTTAACATTTAATTGCATGTGTGCGTGTGTGCATGTGTTTGCATAGTTTGTGTTCGTGCACGTGCACATGGTTCACGACCAAAGTAGAAATTCACCAAAAAGAAAGCTAAATCACTACATGTTAATTTGGTACAAACACATGCTCGCTATCGGCAGCTATTGCTCAGAGATTTAATCCCAAAATGGACTAATTCATTTAGCAAACTTCCATTATATCAAGAGAAGCGACAAAACACTTGTAAATACGTTGACTGTTTTCTTTACCTGTTTGATTTTGGCGAGTTGTGCTGGCGGCAGCAGGAGTTTCCGGGACGCAGTCCAGTCTGTTTCTAGATGAGCACGATTCGAAACAAAAGATGCAGAAATCAAGTAAGGGGCATAGCTCACCAAGCGCCGACGTCGCGTTAATTCCTCGGGAACCACAGAAAGTCCCTGCCTCTGAGTAGGAACTGAAGTGGCTCTAGAAACTACAGGAAAAGGTTCCTATTCCTATCTGTTCAAATGTGCACAAAAAAGGAGCTGGTTCCTGAAAAGGTTCTAGGAACTACGAAAGGTTCCCATAGAACGAATGCACCTTTTGGTCGTCTGAGTACTCAAAAAGCTGTTGCAAAACCAGTCATTCTGTATGGCCACAGATTTGCTAATTACCCTCATGTTTAACGGTTTTTGGCATCATTCCACTCACGACAAGGGATTTAGCTAAGACGGCCGAAAATTGCACGGCATAGTCTGAGTTTGAGCCAAGAAATGGACCTTTTCTTTTGTCTCAACAGGTAAAGTGAACAACTGGCCGCCACTTCCCAAGTTCTTCCCCATCAAACCATGCTTCTATCAGGACTTTTCTGAGGAAATCCCTGCAGAGTACCAGAGAGTCTGCAAGATGATGTACTACCTCTGGATGTGTGAGTGCAGCACCCTTAAGCCTAGCTTATACTGTTTCATCAGCTCAGGTTTAGAGTTGCACACATGAATTGATGGAGAAGTCTGAAGGAAAAATATCTCTGTCACCTAGGGAACCTTGCTAAGTAATTTCCCACCACAATAACAGAGGGCGTAGCACTTTACTGGGGGAATCCTGCCACCATTGCAGTCATGTATCCGGTCTGCGATAGTGTTTACTATTGTAAATTTATATTGTGTTCATATATTTCAGATACTTTTAAACACAAACAAATAGGTCCCTCATGTGTTGTGCGTCTTTGTACCCATGCAGATAGAGAAGTATAAATCAGGTTTTTAGCTGTGAACTGATAAATGTGTTAACGGACTCTGATGTTTGGTAAGACCTCACTGATTTTAAACATTGGGGTTAGGAGCAACATAGTATCAACATATTTAAAATATCAACTTAAATTTAAACAAGAAACTAGATGACTCAGTAATTTTGATATCAGTATAAACATAAAATCAGTAAAACTGTTTCTCTAAACAGACCACACACCATAACGCCGAGTTTTCCATAAACATGGCAACTGAAACAGAGTTGGCTCTTTCCTCTGTTCTAAATGACTTGAATGTCTTTAAAACCACAACAAGTAGAAGCACTAAAAGCCTTTCTTCTAAAGAAGGTATCCAGCACGTTTTAGTTCTAACTCTGTTTCAACACACCTAATTTCAATCAGCAGGTGATTAACAGGCTTCTGCAGAGCTTGATGAGCTGCTGCTCAGGTGATTCAACTACTGAATACAGAAATCAACTTAACGTGTATTCTCACGTGTCCACTCAAACAGGAAAGTAGTTTTATATTAATAAAAACCTCTGGGTTATCGTTCTGCTCCAAACTTAGCACTTGGGATGCTTTATAATTATGAACAGACATGGAGACAGAGGTGAAAGAGAAAGGAAGAGACAAAAGAAAGGGGGTTGGGGTGGGGTGGGGGTGGGGGGGTTCAACTAAAATAATCAATGATGAACAAGAGTCTGCTTCTATACCTGCAGAAAGAGGAAAACAACACACAACAATACATCAAGAGCAAGCTATCACTGCATCAACCTGATGAGGAAATATAAAATCAACATTGTTTTACTGAACAATCACACGATAATAAATCACAGTGCATTTAGTGCCAACCGCAGCCTTAAGACACAGTGTTTCCCCAAGCGCTTTATAAGCCTGGCGGCCCGCCATGCTTTACTTGCCCACCCTTTTAAAAAATTCTATAAAACCTTTGTCTTTAAGCAGTAATGTATTAAACCTCCAGTTTTTGCTTGGTGGGATTATCGTCTTATTTTCCAGAGTTAAAGAAACAGGAGCATTGTCGCTAACAGCTAGGGTGTATCTCAGTGTCTCAAATGTCAGCCAACAATGAGCTGCTGACTAGAAAATAATCCAAACGTGAATGAGAGTGATGGATGTGTGAGAAAAAAGTACTGTATACTCTCAACAGTTAGGATGAAGAGATCGCCATGCATCACAAAACCCATAATCACTCATGTATTGTTTAACTATGTTAGTGGGTTGCCAATTGTGCTGAGTCCCAGCTGTACTGAGCCTGTCTGTGAAAGTGTCCATCCAAAAATTAAAATCGCCTCCAAGTATAAGTGGACAGTCCAAGTGTTGGGAGAGTACAGAGAAAAAAATATGAAAGAATGAAGGGTCATCAATATTTGGACAGTCTATGCTGACAATACATAAGCTTGGGTTCTTTATAGATATTTTTAGTATTTAAAGTCAACCCTCTGGATCTGAAACTGTGTCCAATACTGTGAAATTGATGTTTTTGTGTATTAAAATAGCTACACCTCTTTGCCTAGAGTTATAGCAGGCAGTTAACATGCTGGGAAACTCAGATGTCTTAAGTTCATCTGCAAATGTGGCAGATTTATGGGTCTCTTGTAATAATATTACATCTGCTTGCACTCTTTTTAACTGATCAAAAATCTTTAATCTATTCTCTCTGGAGCCAGCTCCATGTACGTTCCACGAGACAAACCTTAGTGCAACCATAGATGTGTATGAGTAACTAGATAATGATGCCTTCATGTGTATGAGATAAAATAAGTAATTAAACGCATTAATTAATCGGATAGTAAATAATAGAGAGTAAATAAGGATATCATTATAATCATTATTATTATTTGCAATATTAATAATAATAATAATAACAATAACAATATTTTAAAGAATAATAATGATTATATTTTAACAATAATATTTTAAAATATTAATGCTGATAATGATAAAGTATTAATAATAATAAGACAAGCCCAACAGTGTTTTCGATTGTGCAAGGAAACGCCTTACTTATCGTGTGTGACTGTGCGTATTCATTCTATATGTGTGTGTTTGTGTGTTTGTGTTTGCGCACATGCACTTTGTGTGTGTGTTGCTGCAGTATAGAAAAAAAGCTAATTGTGCCATGCAGATGTAAAGATCCAGGAGCAGATTAAAAAAAAGGTGTATAGAACATAAACTGACTTTTGTCTCCTGCTGTTTGTGTCCCGCGCCGAAGAAACCATTCCTCACATTCTTCCTCTATTGGTTAAATTTGGTAAAATATCAGGTTATGAATTGAATCTGTATAAAAGCGAGCTGCTGCCACTTAATATTTCTGAGTCTGCTCTGGAGAAACTTGATGTACCATTCAGGATCGCACAAGACGACTTTGCGTATCTTGGAATAACTGTGACCACCAGAGCATTTGTGATCTTTTTAAGAAAAACCTCATTGATTTAAAGGTGAAAATACATCAAGATTTATCAAAGTGGTCTCCTCTTTATCTCTCACTTATTGGAAGGGTAAATGTAGTTGATATGTTAACACTGCCCATCCATCCATTCTCAACCGGATGTTGGGTCACGGGGGCAGCAGCCTAAGTAGGGATGTCCAGACTTCCCTCTACCAGCCCTTGAGCCAGCTTCTCCAGGGAATCCCAAGGCATTCCCTGGCCTGCTGAGAGACATAGTCCCTCCAGCATGTCCAGGGTCTCCCTTTAGGTCTCCTCCTGTTGTGCCCCGAAAACCTCCCCAGGGAGGCGTCCAGGATGCATCCTGACCAGATGCCCGAGCCACCTCAACTGGCTCCTCTCGATGTGGAGGAGCAGCAGATCAGCAGAGCCTCTCAGCCTATCTCTAAGGGAGAGCCCAGCCAGCCTGCGAAGAAAATTCATGTCAGCCGCTTGTATCCGTGATCTTGTTCTTTTGGTCACTACCCAAAGCTCGTGACCATAGGTGAGGGTAGGAACGTAGATCCACCGGTAAATCGAGAGCTTTACCCGCATCACTGCAGATGCAGCACTAATCCACCTATCTGTCTCACGCTCCAGCTTTCCCTCACTCGTGAACAAGACCCCGAGATACTCCTCCAATTGAGGCAGGACCTCATCCCTGACGCCAAGAAGGCAGAATCAATACATTGATACATAAATATGTGCATACAATCTTTTAAGATGGCTTTTAGGGAGTTGACATTACAAGAAGAAAAAAAAACTTGTATTGGAATTGAGCTAAAAGATATTGGGGTATAAGCATTGGTCCTTATCACCCAGCCCTAGAAAAGACCCAGTGCTCCAATAATTTTAACACTTAGATGGGCACTGCAGTTTTTGTGGTCTGGTTAAAGGGAACTCGGTCATGGGCCATGTCCAGCTCCCGAGCGCCAGTTCTGACAGGAACATGGCGATATTCCCAGAGGAATTTCCCCAGTTAGCAACAGCAGTGGTGGTACAGCTAGCTGCTGCTTGCGTTATTATTATTGTTGTAGTTATTCCAAACAAAGACAGAAGTCTGTGTAAATAAACTAAACTGATAAATGTGTGGACAATGGCTTTCCTAAGCACTGATGTCCTTCCATGTTCTGCTCAGACTAGCCTTTAGTTACTTTAGTTATCCTGCTCTCCAAACAAGAGTGTTACCTGTAAATGCTGATGTGTTTTTATAAGACTGAATTTAATCAGATGCTGGGATTATTCATCTCCAGCCTCTACCTGACCCTAACCTCTCCTTTTACCTCCAGTTAACTGTATGACTCTGTTCCTCAACCTGCTGGCCTGCCTGGCCTTCTTCACCACCAGCTCAGCCAATGGAGTCGACTTTGGCCTCTCTATTCTCTGGCTCCTTCTCTTTACTCCTTGCTCCTTCCTCTGCTGGTATCGACCCGTCTACAAGGCCTTCAGGTGAGTCCCACCTGAGTCCATGACAGGTGTGTGAACCTGCAGCGTTCAGACAGCGAGTTTCAGGGGAGAGGGACACCATTTAAATCATTATACACTGTACTTTAATCCAGAGGTCAGAACATTAATAATAATGTTTAATTAAAGTGCCTTTCACAACACCCAAGGACACTTAGTGATAAAATAGATCAAAACAATGAAATGAATACTAGATGGTGAAGGCTTGTCTGAACAGGTGGGTGAGTTTGGTGCGACACACCCCCTCTCCCACTCGGAGGTCTCTGCCGGAGAAATAATGAGACTGCAGCAACGATCAGCCTCCTCCTACCCAGTCAGAGAGTTTGCCCTTCTGGCACAGCAGTCTTTACCAGAACAACAGTTTACACTTTGATTTAATCAAATGAGCTTGCTTTTGCTGCTGCGTTTGCAGCTTGCTACATGAATTTTGCACGTAGAGTAAAAGGTACTTATATTATTATAGAGAGGAGGCCAAGCTGGAGCCCAGATTGGAGACCTTTCCAGTCTGGTCAGATTTAAGGCTCTAGGTAAAATCATTCTACCAGACTTTCATTCACTGCTAAAAATAAAGGTTCAAGTTAGAACCAAAGACGGTTCTTCAGTGTTTCTCAACCCTGGCCCTCAGGTCCCCATGTCCTGCATGTTTTCCATGTCTCTGCTATAGCACACCTGCTTTGCATTGCCTCCTTAGGATGGCATCAAGTACTGCAGAAGCCAGTTAATCACTCATTCATTTAAATCAGGTGTGTAGCGGCAGAGAAACGATGCTGTTGGAAACGGCAACATAGAAAACATGCAGGATGGGGGAGGGGGCGCTGAGGACCAGGGTTGAGAACACTGCCATAGGGGAACCTTCTTCAGTTCTCCAAGAAATTGTTTTGCTTATTGGTTCTTAAAAGAACCATTTATAAATGGGTTCTTTAATGAACTTTAGTAGGTTCTCTGTGGAACCTCAAAATTAGAACCTTTTAGGGTTCCATAAAAACCATTTATCAAGGGCTTCTCTGGAGAACTAGATCATGTGGGTGCTTCAGAAAAGGTTTTTTGGGTGTTTTAATCAAAAAGGGCCCATTTTACGTTCACCAATTTAAACCAAAGGGAAAAATCTAGGAGCCAATGACATTAAACCACTGATCCATACATGTCAAAGCAGTTTTCATGTACAGCCAGACTAAACTTTGTTTTAGATGTTATGAAAGGATGTCCCAACCAACTTGGACACATGCTAAATGGTAAATGGCCTGTATTTGACATAGCGTCTTCTAGAGTCCTGGAACCCCCAAGGCGCTTTACAACACAATCAGTCATTCACCCATTCACACATACATTCACATCCTGGTGTGGATGTGCCACAATGTAGCCAACAGCTGCCCTGGGGCGAACTGACAGAGGGGACGCTGCCGAGCATTGGAGCCACCCGTCCCTCCGACCACCACCAGCAGGCAAGGCGGGTTAAGTGTCTTGCCCAAGGACACAACGAGTCCACGGGATCCACTTTTCTTCACAACGATAGCGACAAACTGAGCGGGGCTCGAACCTGCAACCTTCCGATTACAAGCGATCACTTGACTCCTGTGCCACCGTCGCTCACCCACATGCTAAGGAAAAAGGACTCAAAAATGGTTCTTAGCAAATGTTCTTTCCTCAAAATAAAAGACCACAGCCTGACAATAAAAACGGATCATATGACAAGTCAATCTAAAAAAATAACTGAATACAAATCACTTAACTGTGTCATTGAGAAAAGGTACTGTATCTAATAGAGAACCTAAGGCTCCTCCCTTTATGGTCCGCTCATGAGTCACCAGAAGAACCATAAAATGAAAGCAAGTCAACGGGGCTAAAAGTTATTTTCTAATCTGCTTTGCCTTACGCCCTGGATCACACATATGTTAGAATTGAGTTTAAAGGAAAACTAATGATGTGTGTTTCGACCACGCCAGTCACGTACTTTGAGATTTATCAGCTTGTAAATGTTTTTAATTAGCATGACTACACACCAGACATCAGCAAGTCGCATATGTGATGTCACCCCATAAGCTCCTCCCCCCTAGTGTAGCTGCTACTCACCACATGACCAGATTTATGGTGGTTCTTTCCTCCTGAAGGAAGGATTTGAAGTTCACTGAACTTCCAGCCCTTTTCCCTCCGGTTTCTCCGTGTCTGGTTAGATGACGCCACTTTGGTGAAGAACATTTGTAGTTTTAGGAGCCATTCATGTTTGTAGTTTTCCTTTTGTGAATGAGCTGGTATGTGCATGCGCTTCTGCACCTCAGGTGATTGGTTGCACCGTGGGTGTGGTTATAAATATGAGCGTGCACCTATTGTTTGGGAATTTTGTTTGGTTTGTGCTGGCCTGCATTATGGTGGTGGGGTGAACTTGGGGAGAAATTTCTGTTGACCGCTGTCTCACCAATTTACACCTGAAAGATCTGCACTGTCTGTGAGGTATTGTTTGGCATCTAATCACCATCAATCTAAGTAAGGGCCTGCTTTATATAATAATACGACCTGGACAATAAATGATCAGCTGTGCAGTTGTTCCGCCTGTGCGGCATCAGTTAAAACCCCCTTGTTTAAGCCTGCCGTGGCTTGTTGAATAAGTTTTCAAACATTCGCCACAATATTTGTCAACAGAAACTTTTTCACCTGTTGAAGCGAAGTTTCACTGTAATGCCAAGACAACTCTGGACGTTTGAAAGCCATTGAAGTCGTCAGCGAAAGTAATAAATGTGTATGGAAACCGCACAGTGCCATCCATTCATAAATCAGCTGCTGCTACACTCACCGATGGAATGGTTGGAATAAAGAACGCAACTCGCATCCAAGCTTAGGAAATAAAGAAGAAAAAAATAAACAAAATGCGGCGCTGTGTTATGTGCGCGGGCAGAATTGGATTGATTTCTGGATATTTCTGAAGGAAATACGTCAGAACAAAGGAGGAAATATGGATGAAGATGAACTTATTGAATCAAAGAGACAACAAAAGCTTACATTTAAAGCGTCTGAACAGAAACTGGAAAGGCTTCAAGATGAAAGAAAAGCTAAAGTAAAACGGATTAAAATTACAATAAGAGAAACAACCGATTTAATGCAAAATGTTGAGAATGCTGAAAAGGCTCGTTGTTGTATTGAACAAATGTCCAGTTTGTTTAATGAAGCAAGCCAGCTGCATGATGTGCTTATTTCTATTCTGCCTTCTGAAGAACAGGAAAAGCAGAATGCATGGTGTGATGATGCTGAACAGCATAAATCAAATGTTGTTGAGGAAGCAAATAAATGGCTCTTGGAACTGCCAACAATTGCTGTCGTACTGCAGAAGCCACAAGAGGGTGGTGTTGAACAAAAATTTCTTCCAAATGAAGAATCAGATTGCAATGATGATACAACAAGAATTTTGCAAACTGTAATGAAACTGAAAATCACTGCAGTGGATATTGGTCCAGGTGACAGTGTATCTAATGCATCTAAAGGAAAACCAAAGAAGAGCAGTCATGTTGGGAACAAGTCTGCTGGTTCAAGCACCTCTTCAGCATGATTAAAATCTGAAGCAGAGACAGCTGCTATTATTGTTCGTCAAAGATTATTAAAAGAAAAACATGCTATGCAGGAGCAACAGGAGCAATTACGAAGAAAAATGGAAGAACTGGATTTGGATATGGAACTTGCTGCTTCTATGGCTAAAGTAATTGTGTTGAAGGCTTCTGAAGGTTCTCGTGTGTCAGCTAAATCTGATGGAATGAGTTCTTATTTGCAAAAAAGTAAAACCACACAGTTAAATGTGGATGCTTCCACATTTGGGCCTGCATTTCTTTCACATCCATTGCAAACGGATGTAACAAAGAATATTTTACATGCAGGCAACGCCTGTAACGTCTAAAGTAAAACGTCCTGCTGAGCTCCAATCTACTGCTACAGGGGCCAGCCCATCAGTGTTACCAGCATCTTAGGTGTGTTCTTGCTGTTTCTTTCTAAATCCATGCTTTCGTTCTTTTTTAAACACAGAAACAGTTTTGTTTACCTGTTTGTAGCTACAGTTTCGCCGACGGCTGCCGGCTTCTTCAGGCTGACGCTGATGGTGGCGCGTCACTTCCTTCTCCGTTTATCTGCGGGCAGCAGATAAAAAGACCAAACAGAAACACTAACACAACACTTAAACAATATTGACGACACGGGCAACATAAAATTCACTTATGAGTTAGAAACAGAAGGCAGCATAGCATTTATGGACATGAAAATAACCAGGCAGACTGACGGGACCCTAAACATAAACTAATACAGGAAACCAACACACACAGACCAATATTTATTATGGACATCAGAACACCCCACCATACACAAAATGTCAGTAATCAGAACATTATATCACCGAGCAAACATAATAACAGAAGAGAGAGACTGTAAACAGGAGGACAAACGCATACAATACGCTTTAAAGACCTGCGCATACCCAACATGAGCAATAAACAAAGGAAAACAACAAACAAAAACCGAAAGCAAAGAACAACCCAAAAAAAGAACCAAAAACCCAGAAAGGCAAGAACCAAAACCAGTGATAACCCTACCATACATCAGAGGCATAACGGAAAAAATAAGAGCAACAATGAAAAAACACAACATAAACACACCAACAAAGCCATACACAACAGTTAGAAACAGACTAGTACACCCAAAAGACAAAATATCAGCTGGACAAAAATGTGGAGTCATCTACGAAATCCCATGCAAAATATGCAATAAAACATACATAGGAGAAACCGGACGCCAACTCAATACACAGACAATAGAACACAGAAAGGAGTGCGAGAAAGAGGCAAATCGTAAACACACAAGAGCAGCAAAAGAAGAAGCAGAAAGTACAATAAAAAAGTCAGCCGTAACAGATCATTGCTTAAGAGAAAATCATATAATGGACTGGGACAGCACACGGATCATAACCACTGAACAACAAAAATACAAAAGATGGATCAAGGAAGCAATCGAGA